ATTGTACAACACAGGGATCAGAATCAATATTTTTAAAAACTATAAATGGATTATAATTTATAAAAATTTTGAATCACTATGCTGTACACCTAAAATTAATATAATATTGTAAATCAACCATACCTCAATTTAAAAAAAACCCTAAATGCTTGATCATCAAACGAAAATAAACTTAAATAAATTTAAGCAAATAAACCAGAAGTTAGAAAGAGAAAAAATATCAACCTGCAGGGAAGACAAGGGCGAAATTAATAAATTAAAAAAAAAAAAACTTTTAAAGGAAATAATGAATAAAACTAAGAGCCAGGTTTTTACAATAGTATAATAAAACAAATTACGTTTTATGCACACACACACAAAAAGGAAAGCAAACAAGGGGATATGCAAGTACACATACTACAGATATTGCATACAACTCTCTGCTAGTGAATTCTGAAAATCTAAATGTCACCTGTGTAAGAAAAAATAAATCATCAAGACTGCCTCAGTAAAAAATAGAAAACTAGACTATATGGAGTCACATAAAACTGAAGAAGTTATCCAGATGCTCCCTCTCCCCCCAAAAAGGGGCACAGAATCAGACTACTTTAGAGGTGCATTATTTCCAAGTTTCATGAAAACATATAAATGCTATTTAAACTGCTCCAGAACACTGGGTAGGGAAATAAAAGTGTTCAATGTTAGCATTAGCCTGCTTCCAAAACTATAAAAAGATAGTCCTCCAGTCAGGAAATTGCTTTGTCTAACTTATGACCAATGATATAAACACCTTTAAACAAAATACTAACAAATGCAAAATATTTGTATTAAAGATTAACTCACAGGGCAAAACAGACTAATTTCTGAAACTCAAGGATGGTTTACTAATAGAAACATTATTAAATAATTATAATACAGCACATTAACAGCTCACAGCATTATATGGTCACACTGATAAATGCAAAAAGTGAAATAAAATATTTCTGATTTTTAAAAATTCGGTAAAAATAGCAATTCTTTAGTATAAGAAAGAATATGTATCCCAAAACGAGCTGACATACATAACATAAATACTAGCAGGATTTCCCTGGCGGTCCAGCAGGTTAAGACTTCACGCTCCCAATGCAGGAGGCACGGGTGCGATCCCTGGTCGGGGAACTAAGACCCCGCATGCCGCGGGGCACCTCCACACCCAACCTCCCCACCCACACAATACACACACACACACACACACACACACACACACACACACACACACAGCACTCACACTAAATTCAAAATCAAACAAGGATGCCCAAAGTCTCCTTTTAGTTTAAACAATCTCAAAGTTCCAGTCAAGCAATGAAACATATACGATATAACTAGGGATAAGGAGAAATTCTAGGGACCTACCAAGAAAATTCAAAATATCAACTGAGAAACTATGAGAACTAATAAGAAACTAAGGAGTCTGATTTTCAAGTAAACATATAAAAATCCTTAGCTTTCTTAATTATAAATAATAACAAGCTTGAAAATAGGGAGAAGTACTCTTTCACAACAGAAAAAAGAAATACATAAAATACTTAAGAATGAAGGTATACTTAAGAAATATATGGAACTTACAAAAAGAAAACTAAAAAATTTAGGTGAGAACATAAAAAACTTGAGTAAACAAATACACCATGTTCCTAAGTGGCAAGATCGAATACAATATAAGAAATCCAATTTCTCCCACATTATAAGTTTAATGCAATGGAAATTTGGGGCACTTGATAAAATTACTCAGAATGATATTCAGAATAAACTATTCAGGAAAAATAAAGTTAGAAAAAGTTGTTAAACTGTTTTTGAAAAAGACTACAGGATGTTAAACTATATTATAAAGTCAAAATAATTTAAAAAACAAAATGGTTCTAGAGCAACAATGATGTTACACAAGACTGAAAGGTCAGAATAATCAAAATCAAGTGGTGCTAGAGCAACACACAGCCCCCAAACAAATGCTAGTATATTGTGAAGGCCACAGCTTGCCAGAGTTGTGGTGTTTCAAACCAAAAGGGATACACAGTATAACTAACAGGTCAGAATAATTCCACCCAAATTCAGAAAGTCAGAAATTATGAATAAGCAATAGTGTGATACCTTAAACCAGTTTCTAATCTGTTTTTTTCTAAACTGACCATTTTCTATAACAATTATAACAGGGCAACAATGTACAATGTCTTCTGAGTGATGTTCCCTATCTTGTTTTTACTAGTGGGTCAGGAATACAGTTGCAAATGAGTTACAAATGTAAACGTCCGACAACTCAATGAATTCATCAACAACAGTTTAAAACTCTTTTGAGAAAGAATTAGTTCCGCTAAAGCTGCTTAACTACAAACGATAGGATTACGTTAGATCCCAATTCACAGAATATAACAAAATAAATCCTGCATGGATGAAGTTAAATATAAACACTAAAATCATACTATCAAATGCACTTCAAAGAAGCTGACCCATTTTCCCTAGGCTTCACCAACATAAGTTCATTTCCTTTGAGAAATTCTACTTGGAGGAATTTATGGCAAAGCAATAATCAGAAACATACACACAAAAAAATAATTAAGCATATCTATTGCAACACAGCTCCTAATTTTGAAATGTTGAAAAAGACAAATTCTCATCAATCTGTTATCATTTAAATAATTATTGTACATCACTCAACAGAATACTATACAAACATTAGTAATGATGTTGCTGAAAATATGTAATGACACAGGGAAATGTTTTTACAATATGTTGTGTAGTTTAAAAATATAGTTTACAAATGAGTTTTCATATTGTGATTCCAAATCTATAAAAGGGTAAAATTTAATTTTAAAATTATGTGAATGTGAATAAGTTTAAGGATGACTAACAAAATGCTAAACAGCGGATTTTTTTCTTCTCTTCATTTCTTAGAGATTCTTCTCTAAAGTGTATTTCCTTTACCAAATTCCCTAATTTGGACAGTGGATCCCATAAGATCCACTGTTCTTAATCAGAAAAAAAACAAAAAAAAAAACAAAAAAAACCACACATTTACAGCTGGCAGACAAAGAAATTCCACTTCTGTGAATGTGTAACTAAACTATTATACACACAAATATTTAGTACAATGTTTATCTCAGTAGTATTTAAAATAGAAAATAATTAGAAACAACTTAAATTGTAATAGGTTCACTAAACATTGTAGTCATTTCATGATATAAGTCAAACCATAATGCTGTACACTTTAAAGTTATACAGTGCTGTAGGGTCGGTTATATCTCAATAAAACTGGAAGGGAAAAAAAAACAAGTCCAACAAAAGAATGTTTGGATAAATGAGTTACAGAACTTCCATAGGATGTCCATTAAACTCTGCTTCAGATGGATATTTAATAACCAGAAAAATCCTGACAACATAAATATAATGGTTGGTTAAAATACAGACTATGAAACTGCATGGGTTGTGAGCATTATTTTTTTAAATAAATACATAACTATATGCATGGAAAAATCACATACTGCATTATTTTAAAAGCTGGAAAGAAACAACAAACATTAAAGTAAGTTTCTCGGGCTACCCTGGTGGCACAGTGGTTAAGAATCCGCCTGCCAATGCAGGGGACATGGGTGCCAGCCCTGATCCAGGAAGATCCCACATGCCACAGAGCAACTAAGCCTGTGTGTCACAACTACTGAGCCTGCACTCTAGAGCCCACGTGCCACAACTACTGAAGCCCATGTGCCTAGAGCCCGTGCTCTGCAACAAGAGAAGCCACTGCAATAAGAAGCCCGTGCACCACAACGAAGAGTAGCCCCTGCTCACCGAAATAAGACCCAACGCAGCCATAAATAAATAAATAAATAAATAAATAAATAAATAAATAAAATTTATAAAAAATAAACAAAATAAGTTTCTCTGGATGATGTACTGTTGATGGTTTTAATTTTCTTAACAACACTGTGTTTTCCAAATTCTCCACAAAGTGGGTTTGGAAAGGATGATATACATACAAAAATACCCAAAGGGCAGGAGAAACTTAAAAACTAAAGCAGCCATCTGTCTCATTGTTTTGATTTAGTTTTACAGAATTTTATTCATTTTAAATTTAAAATGACACTAAAGGAAAAAATTATCAAACAGAAGTATAGTTTTTTTTTAATACAGAAGTACCACTCCAAAATGTGTGCTTTTAAGTGTAAAAATTAAAATACTTTAATGAAGCTTAAAGTAGTTAGGTACTATTTTATAAAAGTGAATAGATAAATACAGTTAGTAAAAATGCCATCTACCTATAGCACTAGTTTTTGAAACCCTGGCTTTGGTATTCCAGTACAGCTATGTAACATGTAACCATGAGAGGAAATCTGGTGAAGAGAACATGGAACCTTTCTGCAACTTCTATAATACTTTAACTTTTTATGAATCTATTCAAAATAAACAGTAAAGAAGAGACTGCTTTATGTAATTCTCTTCTGGATGAACAGACTTTATTAAAAACTTGATTTTAAGCAGCATACATAATAAATCTTTATAGTTGTATTCAATTTGGATGAAATCAACCTCACTTATTACATTTGTTTGTTTGTTTTATTTTGTTTTGTTTTTTGCGGTATGCAGACCTCTCACTGTTGTGGCCACTCCCGTTGTGGAGCACAGGCTCCGGACGCGCAGGCTCAGCAGCCATGGCTCACGGGCCCAGCCACTCCGTGGCATGTGGGATCTTCCCGGACAGGGGCACGAACCCATGTCCCCTGCATCGGCAGGCGGACTCTCAACCACTGCGCCACCAGGGAAGCCCCACTTATTACATTTTAAAGGGCTTGCTTTTATAAGGGTAACTCTTTTCACCAACAAAGCAAAGCTTAGTTTATGTCAAATCTTGCATAAATATCTGAATTTTGAAAACTAGAAAAAACAAAAGAACACTGAAACTTTTAAAAAACATTAGTAATTTTTTAAAAACTTCTATCCTTCAGTTACAATGCCTGCATGCCCTCTAAATTGGGAAAGAAAACTTTCTGTCTTACCATAATTAAATTGACTGTTGGACTTTTCACAGTTAATGATGTTGAACCTATAAGCAATGCTTGGTCGCATTCCACTGACTTCAAAGTAAAACCACTGATGATAATGATTACTATTTATATCTGAGTTCAGAATAAGGTCATATTCATTTCTGAAAACAGAAAATAAACAAATTTGATGAAAATTAGGAAAATAATCTGTGCACATACAAAATGGGAAAATTCTTAATGACTTACTTTCTAATTTGAATTACTTTGCGCAGATTCCCAGATTCAAATTTGGAGTTAAACTTCAAAATATCTCCTTCTTCTGGAGTGCTATAACTAAATGAAATTTTAAAGTAAGAATAATAAAATACATTGCATTTAAACAACTGAGCAAAAAATAAAACTACACTACAGATTAAAAATACACCATTATTGCTGCCTCACCCTCCTCATTATTTTTAAACCAAAGAACAAAACCAACACAAGCAAAATACAAACTTCGGCTAATATTTATAGACAAAACAATTATAATTACGAGTAGAGATTTGTTCCCACATTTATAGTCAGTGTTAATCACAAAATTTTAGAAATAACTAAGAAGTTATGAATAAGATAGATTTGTTTTTCATTTTTGAGAATATTATTTCAAATTCAGTCATTAGCTCTGACATAACTTTACCCTAACTCTCTAACAAAAATCTTTTTAATATGTTTTATTTCTTCCAAATGAGACTACTGAAATATGAAACTTCCCCAAAATATTAGAATGTTGAGGGAGAGGGAAAACCCACGTGCAGGCTGATTAAATTTCTTATTTGATAAATAGTAGTCACCTTCATCATTTTTCATTTTCACTTATTCACTTATATTTGAACCATAAAATACAATGGTACCAGTGATAATCCTAAATTGGAAGTGATGTTAAAACATCAAGGATCACAAACAAATGGCTTCAAAGGTCAGGCAAGTAACTTAAAGGACTGAAGCAGATTGTAAGCAGTAAGAGACAAAAGAGAGAAGTGGGGACTGTGGAGAGGTAGGAAGCATATGTTCCTTCTAAAGGGGATGGTAATTTGTTGTCCTACGGAAATGAAGGCTCAGTATTACAGGACAAAATTGCAGCATTCATGTGGTATCTCCACTCTCTTAAGTGGAGGTAATTTCAGTTTTTAAAAACAAAGCATCAGTTTGTGACCTTTCCCTTATTAAAACCATTAAAAGCCCACCTAAGATCAAATAAAAGCTTGCGATATATTCAATTTAAGTAAATAAACATGATTTACATTACCATTACATCTCTGCTAAAAGATCAAAACGTAGTGAGGGTTAACTAGGTGGAAGTTAACTCTATTTTTTTGTCTTTTAAAAGAACACTGAAATTTTACAGTAGGAATAAAACCAATAAAAGTAAAACAAAGAAACAAAAAGCATACTTACTTTGGGTTATCTAAGTCATATACCACTCGATCTATTATATCACTCTGATGTATTAGCCTCTCAATATCTTGGGCAATTTTTGTCCTGAAATCATAAAAAAGAAGTTTGACCAAAATTCATTATTATCTCCCAAGTAAGTTTTGGATAAAAAAGTATAAAATGATAAAAATATTTCTTAAAATAAAAATGATCACTCCTCTACATATTTTGTGTACAAAAAAAAAATCAATTCATAACAAGACAAAAAACAGTATTTTAAAAGTCTGAGTTACAGAAAATAACTAGCTACAAGGCCAATAGTTTTCGAAAAATAAAATCTTGAATGTCTATTATGCTTTTCTACATAGAAATTCTTAATCTAGCAGTTACGCAGTTAAGCATAATTTATTAATTTTTATTTTACAAAAAATAACTCATCATTCACAAAGCAGTATATCAAGAAATAAACCCAGTATCAAAGGATTATGATATAAATCCTTGATTTAGAGTCAATGTCGTAATTTTCAAAAGTCAAATTCTTTCTAAAGAAACAAACTTTTAAAAAGCTATTAATTATAATAATAACAAATCCAAAATTTATATCAACCAGATCTCCAACAATGAAAGAGATGGCACTTACATACGTACCATAGCAAAAAACACAAGTGTTCAAGTATGGTGAATGACTAAATACATCCATTTGTCAAAATAATTTATTAAACCTTAAGGTTGATATCTACCACAAATGTGCAAAAAATTAATACATACAAAAGTTTGGGGCCTTACTTAAGGAAAATGGTATTAAAAGGCTGATATAGCTTTTGAACTGAGCATTTTTGTAGCTCAGTTCTACAGCAATGTTCTGTAATGTAAAACAAGGTAAAAAAGCTCGACACCTACAGGGCCAGCAGGTGATGTACCTGAGGAGACCTGTGGAAAATTGGGGAACGCAGGCTCTGTCTAAAAACAACTGAATGTTGCCAGGTAGGAAACAGAGGTTAAGGATGTCATACAAATTTTCCGAGAAACAGCAGAAACTTGGATCTCTGTGTGGGATCTCTCAAATGTTAAATGTTGGCATTCAGTTAAAAAACAAAAACAAAAACCTCTGCAAGTGAAGCTAAAATCACGAGCAAGTTGAATATGGCCTACAGGCCACTGGTTTTCAACCTCTGACACTGCATTTTAGGAGATATAACTCCCCATTTATATTAAATTTAGATTAGACCTAAAACTAATACCTAAGGGAAATCTTGCCCTGCCCTCAGACCTCATTAATAAAGAGGACAATTAGCCTTTTATTCATACATTTGTGTTAAGCAGCACAGCTTTCATAAAAGACATCAATCCTTCGTTACTTTACCTCAGCTGCCTATTAAAATATATGGCTCTCTAGTCAAAACAAAACAATAAATATTTTCTAGGTACCCTTGGGGACTATAACCTCAAACTTTTTGACATTCATCATCAAAGGCTTGGCTCAGAAGAAAATAATTTGTGCAAGGCAGTCTGAAAAATTTGCAGCCCATTCAGTCTAGTAAATACTCAAAAGTTCACATGATATGTGGCCAACACCAAAATTGTACTTTTGTTAGGTTTCAACCAATACAGAACAACATTATGAGAAACAATTTAGTACACCTCATTGCTATATTTACTCAACCATCAGGATATTATGCGATATGTTGTTCATTACATAAGTGTTCTCTGAGGACCCGTAGAAGATATTCTTCCTGAGTATGGTATAACCACACATATATGATCACTATGTATGAATGCCTAACAGGACAGGCTCATGACGTAGACCAGGCTGACTCTTGGCTCTGTCATTTGTTAGCAGTGTTACCTTGGATAAGTTCCTCAAGAATGCTAAGTGTCAGCACAGTCTTCCATAAAACAGGAGAAATAATTGCAATTTCCTCATAGAGCTGTTATACCATTAAATGACATAATTTATAAGCATATACACACGCATACAAAGTGCTTTTTACTTATTTCTGTGTCTGGCCCGTAAAAACCACCCAATATAAAAGTTTTCTGCTAGTGTTGCTCCTACTAACACTTCTATTATCTCCATTCCAGAAGTACATGAACCATTCTAAACGTGATATAAAGAAATCCAAGGTTTTGCTTTCCGTATTTTGCTTTTGCCACAATTCCTTCACCTAGGTTTTTAATTTTAAATTTCTTAACAGGTAATATATTGACCTGGTACAAAAATCAAATATTACATAAAAGTATAAAATGAAGACTCTCACTTTCAACACAACCCACACTGTTCATTTATCCAGTTAACTACTTTTATTACTTTCCTTCTGCAAGCACCTTGATTATTCTATTTAATAATACATCTTGTAGCTCTTTCTATCAGTGTACAGAGATCTTTTTGTTTTTTAATCATTGCAAAGTATTCATAGAATGGATATACCATAATTTATTTAACTAGTCTCTGACCGATGGGCATTTGAGTTGCTTCCAATCTCAAAACAATGCTACAATGAAAAACTTTGAACATAGATGTGCAAATTACATGTGTATATGTACATATATATCGTATATATATATATATCATAAATTTTCAGATGTGGGATTAATGTGTCAAAGGAATTTAATTTTGATAGACTCTGTCAGACTGCCCTCTACAAGAGGTATTATCAATTGAAAATCCCACTATCAATGTATGTGAGAGCCTGTTTCTCCACAGCCTCATCAATAGAATATACTGTCAAGCTTCTACATTTTAGCCAATTTTTGATATGTGGGAAATGATATCTCAGTACATTTTAATTTGCATGTTGGGATGGGGGGAGGGAGGTCCACGAGGGAGGGGATACATATGTACATAGAGCTGATTCACTTCGTTGCACAGCAGAAACTAACATAACATTGTAAAGCAATTATACTCCAGTTAAAAAAAAAAAATGTCTCTTACTTTGAAAAATGCTGAACATATTTCTGGGGTTAAGAGTCACCGCGTTTCTTTGCCATTTTTTTCATTTTATTTTGCTGAAAGTATTTTCGCAAAATACCTTAAATGCTTTTTTAAAACAAGGTAACATGAATTATATTTTATAATAAAATATCTATTATTATAAAATACAGCCAGGCAATTTTTCTAAAACACACAGAAAAACAATGCGAAGAAAATCAAAATGCTAATTTTATGTAATATGAATACAAGGAAAATACACCAAAAAATGCTAAGCACACTTTAAACTCAGATGCTTCATTTTAATTTTTGATCCAACTTAAACCAAAATATGGATTTCAAGTAATCATCATTATGTATTTACAATAATTTTTTTTAAATGTCAGTGCATTATCCACATTGAGATATGAATCTTATAACGGATTTTTCCCCTTCCAAATGAGGTGAAGAGATTTTTAATGAAATTTTATTCATTTATTGTACTTTCTTTTAAAAAGATCAGTGATTACATACAAGAAAGATTATCACAAAGTAGAAATTCAAAATGGCAAAAATATATTTTCACTGAATAATTTTAAGGGATCTAATGCTTCCTTTTCTGAAAATGATAAAATAGTAAACCCTCATCAATTCTGACATCATTTACAATGTTACTGCACTCAGATAGGGACTGAGCTAAAAGTTGACATTTACAAAATGTTTATCATTTGCTCAAAAAATAAGTTTCAGAAGATGAGGCAAATAAGATAAACAAACTAGAATCAATATCCTCAATATATTTCAAAAAAAAGGAAGCACTTCTGAGTATTTTAGTAATACCTATTACCTGGCCCATATTTGATATTTTATTACAAATACAGAACCATAAAGCCTTCAGACTACCTAGCTACAGGGGTCAGCAACTTTTCCTATATAGGGTCAGACAGTAAATAGTTTAGGATTTGCAAGGCACATGGTCTCTGTCACTACTATTTAACCTTGCCACTCTGGTGAAAAAACAGCCATAGGTGGTACATAAACAAATAGGACTGGCTGTGTTCCAATAAAACTTTATTTATGGACACAAACATGAATTTCATATAATTTTAATGTGTTACAAAATATTATTTTTCTTTGGATATTTTTGAGCCATTTAAACATATAAAAACCATTCTTCGCTGGTGGGCTGAACATAAATAGGCAGTAAGCTGTATGTGACTTGTGGGCCATAGTTTGCTATCCCTGGTCTAGATGAATTATCAAACTTTCTTGATCGTGACCTTCAAGAAATACATTTAAAAAATCACAACCCTACATACACACACACGCACGCAAGCGCACACACACATACACACACACACAGCTGAAACAAAAAGTTTATAAAACAATACCTGGCTGCACTAGGTGTGACACACTGTTATTTTCTCTTTCAATACTGGCTACTAATGGACATCAACCCACGGTTTCAAAAAACAGTGATCTGCTTTTAGTTAAGAAAATTGGTATCTGGAGAAATAAAGTTATTTGCTCAAATATACACACACAGAGTCAGTGGGAGAGCCCAGTCTAGAATCCATGTGTTTCGACTTGCTTTTCAGAGTATCCTGACCTGCCAAAACGCCTCACCATGCCACATGGCCTCAGCACTCTCAAGTCCAATTGTCCAAGTATTGCCACTACAGGCATTTGTTCTTCCAGTCTCAAATTAATGTCACCTGAAGGAACAAATAATTCTGAAGTTTTCTACCCGTTATTCAAAAATGATGGGAGAAAAGAAGCTTTAACACATTGCATCTCCCTGCATCAGGATGACACTGCCCACCACAAATTCCACATAAATACTTGACAAATATTTGCAGAGTACATAAAATAAGGAGAAAAAGAGTAACAACCCTCAAATGAGAGTACTGCTGCCTAGTATGTATTGATAATTCAGAAACATTTTAAGTATATATTTCTTGCATTAGTTATATCTAAAGCAATTAACATTACTGGGGAAAGTCCTACACATCTAAATAAACTGTTTGGTTTCATTGACATAGTTATATTCCTGCCTCACATCAAATATCTGACACCCATGGAAATTTTGACAAATGATATGAAAATGGAAATTATGACAAATAAGATGAAAGGTGTTCTTTGCAACACTCACAGTCACACAAAATATATAATGATGCAGCAAAAAAGACTAGCAAAGGTTAGATTACTTCATAATTTCTGACTTATTTCTGTTGTAACAAATCAGAAGGCACAAAAATATTTTTATCAAGGTGATGAAAATCAGTGGGGTAAGAAATCTTTGAAAGTTCCAGGAGAAATAGATCATCTAACCCTCCAAGGTGTTTTACGGTCCTACTTTTCTCATTGTAAATTTTCCAGAGTGGATGCAGGAAACCGGGTTGTAAATCATTGGGTTTTCTGTGTTTTCATTTCCTTGAGCTCAATCTCCTATGCACTTTAACTTGCACCAACACACCCAACTTTAAAACACATATCCCAACTCTGAGTGACCTTTTTTATCATTTATCATGCTGTTTAGTTTCAAAATTATATTTTAAAGCTTTGGTTTGAATAACATAACAAACTCCGTGGTACATTACCCTGTGTAGAGAGGCAACAGAAAAAGTCCATTACTTCAGGAAAAAAATCTGAAGGTGGCCTAATATACTCAAGAGGTCGAACTCCTAATCTGTTGATTAGATGAGTAAAGCAATTGCAATGTCTGTGTTTCAGGAATGAGGTGAAAGAATTCACCATAAATATGAAGAAAGAGAGGAGGACTGAGAAGAGCCACAGTAATTCCAGTCGGTATAAACTTCTCCTCTACCAGGAAAGGCACAGTCCTGGGGAGACAGCAAGTAGACTATGGGACTGTGGGTGGAATAATCCTCTCTTAAAGACCCAGCCAGGCAATGACAAAGCCCAACACTAGAAAAAGCTGCTCAAAGAGGACAAGGCCACCAGAGTTGAGGGTGTAGCTCCCCACCTGCAGCACAGACATTTTGAAAACCCACAGAGTAGGTATAACAACTATTCGTGGCCATGATACATTTATTTGCAGTACAGCTACACTTAATTAAAACAAGTTTCTTTACTTATCAATATCAATAAACGTATCAACTGAAAAGGTGATCTAATGTTAATCAGAGGCTCTGCTTAGCAGGAATTTATGTCTTTTATTAGCACAAATGGGTAAAATACTTAAATAAGAATCTTGACTGAGAAAAACTTTCATAACAAAGTCCATGAGGGGAAATAAGAAGGATCCTTGGTAGTTAAATTAAGGCTGAGAATCAGAGACCTATATAATAGTTATAGCCCAATTGCACAATCTTCCTTCCTTCTAATCTTACTTCAGATATTATAGGCTAATAAGGAAAATTAAAACTTTCAGACTGAGGCAATTTAATGAGGAAACTTGCTCTCAGCATTTAAAGAACACTTAAAGTTCAGGAAGTGCTTTCTGTAGCCAAGATGACATCTTTGACTTTCAGGAGATAGAGAGGCTAAGCGGTGATGATGAAAAGGAGAAAAATCTAGCTGCTGACTGATTCTGACTCATGCCAGGCATGTCAGTTCAGGTCCTTCAAAAAGCAAATGCCAGACACAATCACAATCTCTTGCAGCCAACTGTGCAAGAGATCTATTAGGGGAAACACATGTGAAAAACAAAGGGGAGAGGGAGCAGTAGTTAGGCGTGAAAGGCCTTAAGGTCTGTCCAAAAAGCAGATTTTACCTCTGGGAAGGGAGACAACACTGAGTAGGAGAGCCTCACACTGCAGTGCAGCTCTGCAAAAGTCTCGACCATGCCAACAAGAAGCCACAGAGCAAAGACTGCCTATGATCAGATCCCCGCATTGGTCAGGAATGGCTCAGCTCTAGTACCACCATCATGGTCAGCCAATGGCTGAAGCAATGCAGGGAGGACATGGTCTCAGCAATAATACTGCAAGGGATCTCCAAAATACAGTGGCTGAAGGCTGGGGGCAACCAAAAGCCTCACAGCAGGTTCTCTCAGGAAGGTAGAGATGAGAAACTCATTGCCATGGCTGCCACAGCCCACCCTTGTGCTGCATGGATCCACTTCTCCACCCATCTTTGGAGAGCAGCTGCTCCACAGTTCCTGTGGGCCTCTACTAAGGAGACACTTAGAAGAAAAACATGAGCAGGACAAATGCTGTCCCCATCCATCACTGCAATTATTCTCAGGGCTGCAACTCATCTCCATCCTCTGATATCTATCAAAATTCCCTTCTGTCTCACCTATCACACCTCTGCAGGTCTTGGTAGCTGATGTGATTAAGTGACCCAAACATTCCTTAGGTGTCTGAGACCCTGGAAATCATATCATCCTCATTCCAGGGTGGCCATCATGTGTCCACTCACACTTAAAGTTAGTGGATCACTTGAGTGCCATCCATAGTCAACCTGCTGCCATTGTGTAGAAGCAATCCTACCTCCTTTAGCTGATCTGGGTCCTGTCTGCTGGTCCTAGACACAAGAGACTAAAGTAAATCACTGGCAACCACAGCTTGCAGTCAAACTGTACCCTTGCTATGTCCCCTGTGGAAAGACTACACCCACTTTGGGACTAGGACTACTAACGCTGCAGAGCTCAGAGGTGCAGGGACACACGCCTGCACAAAGTTCCCCAGCGGGACACTGTGAGCTACAGTAAGCAGGACTATTTCTGTTTCCACCTCCTGCTTCCCAGACCCATTAGTCTTTCTACTGGGGATACAGAACCAAATGGAAGTTTCTAACTTAGTGCCTATACTGCATCCTGTAAGACTGCAGCCCATCCTTGCAGAGTATTTCCTCTGAGTTGGAGCTTCATCTGTGCCTTCTGAAGGCCACTCCAGCACTCCAAGAGGCCCGTCGCCTCTGGGTGATGCAGTCTGTGATACAACCGGTGGATGACAAGGCAAAGGCCCACCCCACGTCCCAGCAAAGTCAGTCCCTTGTTCTGATGCTATGTTGTATGTGATTCCATACCTATGGATCAAGGAGTCAACTGGTAGCATTAAACATATACTAAGTTGCCAAGTAAAAAATGATTAATTATATTATATACTAAATATAAAAAATAAATAAGACACAGGTGTTGCCTTAAAGGAGCTCAAAGTCTAAAGAGGATCAAATATGCACAGTAATGTCTTCCTTCATCATTACATACCATACTCATAGCAAGAACATATAAATGTTCTTAAGTACTGGTAAGCCACCATCACAAACCCTTAATCATAATCTCTGAAAATAGTCAAGTTGCACCAAAAATGTATTTATGTGCCCAATATTCACTAGTTGACAACAGATAATACTAACCATAATTTTTAAAATTAATTGGCAATATTTAATAAGTTCAGTCCTATGAATCCCAAATTTTTATATTGTATATTTCCAATTCCAAATTTTACAACAAAATAATGCTGCCCATATTGCTATTTTTAGATTATATACCTAAATCAAGTTCAAATAATAATTAAATTACTAAATTAATATATAACTAATATAATATTTTTTCAAAGATTACTAAACAATCGTTTTATATTTTCAGAATCATTCTAAATAGAAAATTTCTAAATTGTACAATGGTCAGGTTTATTATGCTGGCTTCTTCTGAATAGGTAATGAACTTAGAAAATAAAGTAAACCCATACAGACAATTTCAAAACAATGCAAAATTTCCAAAGCAGGATAAAAAATGACACTAACTTTATTTTTTTTCTTTTGATAGGCAAGAAGTAGATTTATTACTACAGGATGCTTGTGAGGGATACAAGCGGGCAGGTGAGGGGGCTCTGCCAACACTAACTTTAATCAAGAGTAATTTTCTTCCTAAATACCCAAAGCAGTTTTTTTCAGCATGCTCCATATTTTGACAATGATCTTGTTTATGAGGAAGAGGAAATCTGCAACTCACCTTTGTACACCGTAAGGCCTTTCCAAAATAGGCTCTTTGAATGGAGGAGGAATGTGACCAAAATAATCAGGATAAGCCACCTCTGAATATTCTGGGACAGACTTTGTACTTTTCACAATCTCAATATAAAGATCTGAATCATGGAGTGTTGGTCCACCAGGAACTTCAACTAATGCTTGTTCCGCTGACGCAGTAGACTCAGTGTCTTCATCATCCTCAGTTTCGACTCCAGTACAGCAAAGCTTGCCTAGCTGAACAGTTCTTCCCTCAAACAGAACATTCCCACAAGTAGCCACGTGTGAACATGCGTTAGCGCATGTAAGGGCAGTGACAGGGAGACTGTAGCCCTTCATTCCTGCAGTAAAACCCGGGGCTGTTCGAGAAGGAATATTCCGCAACGTAATTCGGTCCAAGGCCTTCACAATATCATTGTTTAAGCCATGGCCCGATGAAATAGTTCTATTTTGATCACCTAGCTGCTGTTGTAATGTTCTGTCATTATCTTTAATGTCTTCTTTTGCCAGATCCGCACAGGCTGGTTTCTTATTATCTTCATCTCCTTTAGGAGACACAGTCGCCTTCATTACAACTCCTTTTCTTAAATTGCTGGAATTCCCAGACGCTTCCTCTCCTGCCGTGGGAACAACAATAGGACCACGCACTTTTCCCTCAAATACAAAAGCTTTTGGTTCTCTGGAGATTAAATCATAGTCCTTTGAAAATAAAAAATAAGTTTAATCTTTTATATGTGAAGATTTACATGTATTAACAAAACTAAGATCATATTCATTTTATATGCTGATTCAGAAACCTAACATTTGAAAATTTTAAAGATGGATAAAACAGGGTATATTTTAATTTTGCCAATAAAAGACGAAATGTTTAACCAGCACAAAATTCATTATACTTATTTTACTTTTTCTATTATAAAAATAGTGCCTATATATTACAAATATGAGAAATTTTAGAAAAGTATAGAGACATTAAAATCATCTAAAATCTATTAAAGGAAACAGAACAGCTAAATTGTTATTCACTAATTCAACAGATATTTAGAGTGTTTGTTTTGTGCCAAGCAGTTTCAGGCACTTAAGACCCACCAGTTAAAAAAACAAACAAACAAAAAAAACAACTCTTCCCTTTTGCAGCTTATATTCTTCTACAGAAGGAGGGGAGAGGACTGTCAATAGAAAAGGTAATAAACATGATACAAATACATTTTATGGAATGTTAGACGGTAAAGTGTTAAAGCAAAAGAAGAGGGGGAAAGGGGTATATGGACTGGGTGTGCCAGGGGGAGGAGAGGTGGGTGGCAATATTAATGCCATTGATTAGGGAAGGCTCACTGAGCAGATATAAGCAAAGACAGAGAGGGCTGCCGGTTCCCAGACCCCTGAGTGGGAGAAGGCCTGGCGTGGTCAGAGAACAGCAAGGAGGTTAGGATGGCTGGAACAGACGGACCAAGATGAAGTCCAAGAGGTAAAGAGGACCAGATACTGTAGGGCCTTGCAGACTATTGTAAGAATTTTGCTTTTTACTCTGAATGAGACTCGGAGCCAATGGAGGGCTCTGAGAAGATGAGTGCCATGACATGACGTATTTGGGGAAGGGGGTGGGGGGAAAAGACAAAAACCAAAACTGTAGTGCAGGCTTCTTAACCACGGCATTTAGGCATTTGGGGCTACGTAATTCTTTTTTGTTTAGTTTGGTTCTTTTCTGGGGAGGAGGAGCGGGGTGGCGGTGGGGGGGGGGGGGGGTAAGGGAAGCAG